TAGCTATAAGACACCAATATGGTGTGAGCGTATACCAGAGCTCTGTGCCTAGTTCCTGTGGTGTTGGGAGCATTCGCCTTGGAAAGTGTAGCATTTTGAGCTGGAGAGGATATTGCAGATCATATCTCTTCATTTGGCAGGTCCTTGGGCTCGAGGTCCCTCAGAGGCACACTTTGTCTTATTTGCCTTTAAATGCTCAGAGTGCAGCATACAGTCAAGCTAATAAATTCTAAATGAATGAAGGTCACATAGAATATGAAGAGTCACTAGGTCACGGTTCCCGATCCAGGGCTCTTGCTCTTCTAAGGCACCATTAAAACAAACTTTGCCACAGACTAAAATATCATTGCCTGTTTAAGTGTCTCATATTCATCAGTGATCTATCATGACCTTTTCTCCAACTTTGGCCAAAGATACAAAACTGCAATTTAAATTCTCATATTCTCTCTGGGTAAGTTAGGCATTGAGAGGAGTTACTTTATATGTTAGTCATCCATCATTACAGAAATCTGACCTGACAGATTTTTAGACTAATTGGGGGGGGGGGGGAAGAGGTGATGACAGTGGTCTGAGTCTCTGGTGAAAAAAATGACCATCAGCTTTATGGTGGGGGAAGGGTGGAGTGGTGTGATATAGGTCATGGCTCTAAATAGCGAAGCCCTACCTTACTCAAATATTTACCTGTTGACTTGTTCTAGTTTGTCTCCTCGTCTACCAATCCAGCTCCTTATCCAAAGATAGCAAGTCTGATAGTATTGACTGACCTAAAAAAATAAAGATTAATTTTCTCTCCATCCATTGAGGCTCTGGATTTGAAATTTTAGTTTTCCTTTACTTATTTCTTCTTGCCAAACCACAAACAAACTACTACCCTCCAAGAGGGTCTGTTCTGCTTGTTTTGGAGCTGCTCACTTTTAAAATATTTGATTCTGGTCTCCTACCCCATTCTGGGCCTAAAGCTCACAGCCAAGTGCAGAATAATCTGGAAAGGATGGTGGGGTGAAAATATGTATCTTGGCTATGTGCCCCCTACTGAGCAGTGGGCAGCATTCCGTGTTATAGTCTTGAACAAATGTGTAAGTCTCCAGTTCCAAAGGGGACCACGTTTTCCTCCTGCATTGTCTGTGATACCTCTGCATGTCTCCTTGAGAAGTCCATGGAGAAACGAACCATCTGACCCTCCAGGCTGAACAGAAAATAGTCCCGGAAATGTCAGAACGCACTGTGAATGCCAGTGTTAATGGGAGAAAAACTCATGTAACTTTCTCCATCTACTTTAAAAATAGATGGAATTGGCTGGGTGACAGGTGGGAAAATTGTTTTACTAGCATTATGCCACATGCTAAAGAGATTTTAAGAACATTGTATGCCTTTCATTAAGCAAAAGTAAAAGCTAAGTGTCTAGTACAGTACACACACACATATATATACATAGACCACCTACATACGAGTATAATTAATGATCATTAGCATTTATTTAGCGTTTATAGTTCACAAAGCATTTTCACTTATTTAATCCTCATAACAAATCTCAGAGGGAATTCCTTATTATTAGACCATGTTAGTGGAGCAAGAATAGCATACAGCTAGATTCTGGTGACAGATTTCAGGCCTCATGGATTCAAATGGTCATGAGATTTGTCTGATAGTGGGAAGATAACATAGTGAAGAAAGTAGACTGAGAATCACAATATTTGGTTCAGCTGTGTGGCCTTGAGCAAGTGTCTTTAATATTTTTTGGTTTTAGTTTCCATATTTCTAAAAATGCTAGATCTGATGATCATAAGGTCCCTTTTAGCTTGTAAAAAGAAAAGTGAAAATTATCCACAATGTTTTTATACTGGGAGTATTTTAATCTTCTAAATAGGGAATGCTAATAGAAATGATGATGTTCAAAAATTAGTCCTGAGATAGATGGAATTATGAATAGTGACACCAGCAATGTCACAGCTTTTTTAAATCATATGTGACAAATAACGACCTTCCTTCTTTCTATAAATCTGCTGTGGAGTTGGCACGGCCATCCCATTGATTGGGAGAATGGCTTGTCTATTTCATATAGAGCTCTAAATACCCTAAGCAGAGCCTTCACGGTTGACTAATTGAAAGAAATGTCCTGTCAAAATGCTAGAATACATTATTAAATAGTCAAACTATGGGATGACCATAGAGAACTGTTAGACAAATCCTCACATACCTGGAATACAAGGTTCATACAGAAAAATTGCAGCAGAACCCGTGGAAGAACCTAGGTCTCTGATTCCTAGTCTCATTCTTCTCACCATTCTTTATGACCTCTAAGACCTGGCTTCAAGGAGAACACTGGGTCTGTAGTAAACACGAGCTCTTCCTTTAGGGGTAGCTGAGGCCACTTGTTTGGTCAGACAAAACCTCAGTCTTTGAGGAACTGCTCATTTCTAGCTGGACAGAACCTGGGCCCTGGAGCTGACCTAACATGATGCCACTCAGCACTGAGAACGACAGCATAAATATAATCTGGAAACTAACTACAGACCTAATGTGACCTGCAGTAATATGTGATGACTAAAGAAAGCCAACTCAACCTTTGTCCATTTTAAAACGACTTTATTTTTGTTTTGTTTTTTATTTTTTTATACCTGAACAGGAATTTTATTCTGTGGAGTTGACTGTATATCAGCAGCCATCTCAATATGTGGAAATGATGACTGGGTTCCTATTTTTTTTTTTAAAGTTTATTGGGATGACAATTGTTAGTAAAGTTACATAGGTTTCAGGTATACAATTCTGTAATACAACCTTAACAAGATTATAGCAAATGATAATCTAATTGTATTCTGCTTGATCACATCACATCTGGAGTTCGTTGCTCATAGCTGGACTTAAATGTTAAGACATGGACAAATTGGAGGACAGCAAAAGGAGGCCAAGAAGAACGGTGAGGGTTCGTAAATGTTGCCGAGTCAGATTGTTCAGTGCCCTCGTTTTCAACGTGTTTTTTCCTACATTTATCCCTCCCATAAATCGGTGACGTAGGCTGGTAGGATAGATTATTCCTGCACTGGTGATATAGTTAAGAATCTTCTGCCTTTTCTCTCCTCCTAAATATTTACCAATCTGTGGCTTCTCAGAACAAGTAGTGTGCAAATGTTTGCCAAACAAAGGTGAATTTTCTTTCAGAAATAAATTATAGGAATAAAGGACAAAAGTTACAAGGTTACAAAAAGTTACTTTTGAGCAAATGTGTGTATTAAAGCTATAAAGAAGCTGTTGCATGAATTTACCAGCACTAAGAGAAATCAAGTGAAGCCTAGATGACCATTTGTCAGAGATTCAGTTAAGTTCAACAAGAGTTATCAACTGCCTATTATATGAAAGACACCAAGAGTCACAGCACATGTCAAAGATGAAGAAATCCTGGTCCCTAACAGGGTAAGAAGGTTGACATGTAAACTGATACACACATCAGTGGAGATATAAATACAAGGTACAAAATAAGAAGAAGGGTTTGAAGCATGAGTAAAAATTTGTCAGGAGGAGCCTGGGCAAAGGGGTAGCCCAGGCATAAGGAATATACATGGTACGTTTGGTATCGTACCAGAGCAGGTATCACTGTAGGGCAGATTCCTTTTTTGGCTATGAGTGTGAGATAGGTGACTTCTAAAGTCCTTTCAAAAACTCAACTTGTAAGCCCTAAAATCCCTAAAATCTTACCATTTCTGATAACAATTCTCTGGGAGGTCCTACTTAGGCCAACTACTTTAAATAAAATAGCATCCAGTTCTCTTACAAGCAATATACAAAGACATCAAAATATAAGGTGTAATATAATTGTAGAAATCATTCATTTAAGCAATCAGAGCATAAGGACATTTAAAATTAACAGATTTGAAAAATAATTGTTAGCAAATGAAATCCAACTTTATTTAGTGGTATGCTTAAATTCTGGATATAATTTTTGAGGAGTCTCTTAACTGAATTAAAATGTAAGGCAAGTCTGCCATTCTGTGTCTCTTGACCGTTTTTCTTCAGTGTTTATAACTATATGCTTTGTGTCCCAATGTAATGTAAACTCATTGGGGACAAAGAATATCTGCCTTGTTTTGTTGTGTTCTCTGAGCCCAGACTAAGACATGGCACATATTTGAGCTTTCATTTAATTCATTCACTGGATGAGTGAATGAATGAATGAATCTGTAGCTGAAGGGGTTGCCCCACGTGAGCACTAGATACATAGTTGGTAAGATGTGATTTGGCTGCATGCCCTTTCTAACTAGGTTGTGCAATCATGCCCTACCTTCCGTGTAGTGTAAGCAGGCCTTTATAACCTGTAAGGCACTTGACATAAATGCCACCCTTAGTGAAAAGTAAACATTTCTGGAAGATTTACTAGCTCCAGGGTGGTGTGACTAAGGGAAGAATGTGTACCTAGTACTCTGGCTTTGTTAGCCCTGCCCCTAGGATCTCTACACTTGGTCAAATAGAATCAGATTCTTTCATCTTCAATGGTACACAACCGCTAAATCCATGAACAGTTTGTACATTACCACCACAGATCCAAGAAAGGAGAGCAGAATAGTGACAAAATGCCAGAGGATGGTTCTTTGCCACTCTCTACCCAATATCTATTAGGAGATACTGAATTCACCCTACTAGGGTTTAGGGAACACTCCACTAATACGTCTCTCACACTTGGGGACATCTAAAAAGCATTTGTGAGATGGCTGGGCTTTGGGTCAGACTGACTGTTGTGAGACTATGATGAGCAATACGGACTGTTGTGCAGATCTAAAGGGGACTCCTGAGAATGGGCACCCTTTCTCTTTCTTTCCTTTTTATCCAACTCTCCACTTCTAGTTCTGTTATCAAGACTTAACTTGGAACTTAACTAAGACCTTGAGTTTTCATTTGTTCAGTGTGACTCAAACTGATTAAATTGGAAATCTTGGAGTCATCTTCGAATTCCCGTCTCTCCCATTTTCTATTAAGTCACTAAGCCTATTGAACAATTTTTCAGTTTGTCTCTCCTTTTCACTTTTTTGCCAAAGGCTTATCAATTTATGTGTGGACTACTGCGACAGCTTTCTTAGTGGTCTCCGGTCTTCCTCTCTAATCCTTATTTACCATCACTCTATGCAGTTTTAAGAACACCCAATTTCATCTGTTCCTCAATTAAAAAAAAAAAAAAGCACCACCACCAAAGATACCCAAATACCTATGTTTAATAGTTATTCCTCAGCCTGGAGCTACAATCTCACCCCAACTCTTCAAAATGTGTTATCAGCATCTATTATTACCATTATAATGTGATCTTTGCCCTTCAGGTTTAGTCAGGTTGATGTTATTATCTACCATCCTCTTAATATACCACTCAACCAACCCCCACATTTTGTGATACTGACTTTCTATAGGGTAAACATTTTGAGGATATTCACAGGATTGTCCAAATCCTATACATTCTTTAAGATCCAAATGAAATTTCTTCTCTTCTACGTCTTCCCCTACCTGGTTTTTTTTTTTGGCTTCCTTCTTCTCTACACTTCTATGAAACACAATGTTTCTCTTCCATCCATTTTGTTAGGGTCATGTGCCACCTTGAAATTTAACTGAATTATTTTCATGTTTCTATGCCATGTATGTCTTATATCAAATAAATAGTCCCTCGAGGATTTTTCAGTCTCATTTGTTTTCAATCAAATTATTAACCCCTAATTAAATGAACTCATAAGTATTTAAAAATTTTCTTTGCACATAGGATGTTGGTGCTGTAGTAAGGGCAAAATAGGATGATCTTCTTGTATCATCAAGTAATAATCTTAAAAATTTACTTCTGCATATGAATAACAATTGAATATTTGGGAGTACGCGTATACAGATCACACAATTTTCTTCCTTGCATTATTATTTTGTACTTCTGAACTTAATGTGTTAAAGAGTTGTGACCTCTTACTTTCAAATAAACCAATGAATTAATTTATGTAGAAAAAGTAATTACTGGAAGTAATAAAAATTAAAAGTATTAATGGACAATTCTATGAAAATAGCCTAGAATTCACCTAATATGTTTGGTCTTAAGGAATCACTATTTATAAAATGTGAACATGTCAAAGAGGCTATACCTGGGTATTTCAGAAGCTGCAGCACCGACACTTGAACAAAACCGCAGGAAGCGGTTCTGGGACCAGCAAAACACGCTTTAATGCTAAAGCTCGCCCAAGCACTGAACACATGACGTCAGGTAGGTGATTTGTATGGAGTATTAGTGATAACACAACACTCAACTTCCTAAGAGTAAAAATGTGCTGCTTAGATGGAGAGAGGAGATACTGAGTAGTTAAGGGATGTTAGTATAGAGCAGCAGTGCAACCTAGCTCATATGATTTATAGAGAATGTTCTCAGCTCAAGTGCTGAAAAAAAAATTGGTCCAGAAAGGCAGACTTAAAATCAGTGCAAGATTTACAAACTCCATCACGTTCAAATATATGAGTAGTAAGGATAAAACACAAATACACATTACTTATTAAAATAACCAAATTGCCCAAACTAAAACTAATCTGTTAACATTTCTTTTATCAGTCTGACTTTATTTGTTAAAGGCCTTAAACATGCATTCAGGATAAAAATAAATAAAAGTGCTAAAGTTTTAAGAAACCATATGCTAACTTAGGATGTTACCTATATTTTATTGGACCAATCAATGTTTTTTAAGAGGTGGAGTACTTTCTGTCTTAAATGTTTATACATCTCACTGAAAATACTAGCCTGTAGCACAGAGCATCCATATAAAAACACAATGCCATTAAAAAAACAAAAAGAAATCCCGAATCTCTAGGTTGAATATAGTATCTTTTACCCAGAGACTCTCTTCCCATTATCCTTTATGACAACCACAGAATCCTTCCAACCTGCACCGTTTGCCCAACAGGGTCATAAAAGAACTCTTAAGTGCTAAAATAAAATATCATATATAATACTTCCCTAGTTATCCACAACTTTCTTCTCTTAGCAAATGTCAGTTTAAGGTGACTTCTTTTTATAAGCTCCACAGTGTCAATATATTCCAATAATTTATTATTCATTTTTTTCACACATAATTAATATAAAACATCACTTCTCTAAAGAAATTTAAAAGATACATTCAATGTAACCAAGTTCTAGTCTTAAAAAGCAGCGCTCAATTCATTTCCATCCGAGTTCACTTCTCTAGATGACCAGCCCTCAAGGACTCCTGGAGTCTCGCGATGTTGGCATCCAGCGCTGCAAGGCCATTTCGGAAGTCTTGCTCATCACGAGAGGTGAATGTTGAGAAAGAAGAGATGCTCCAGTCAGATGTCAGGTCCGAATGTAAAAAGCTACTGTCGGAGACAGCACTGCTTTTCACATGAAAGCTGCTGCTCTGACATGTGGAGGGGCGGTGACACACGTCTGGTTCCTGTGGCTCCTCCGGGGCCGCAGGGATCTTGCAGATGGCTTCCTTTATTTTTTGGAGGAGCTGCTTGTCCTCCATGTCAGCTGTCCTGGAAAGTTTCTCAGGGGCATCTTCCGCTTCCTTTCTGGAAGAGGAACAAACTCCGGGTGCACACAACTTATTTTCTTTCTCAGAGACAAGTCCACCATTGCTGATCAGCTTCGGTGGAGCTACGCTGACCTGTGGCTGGGGGGATAACCTCTTCGATAGTGCTAATTTCCTTTTGGAAGGGCTTCTAGCAAATGGAATGTAAACTGTATCATCCAGATTACACTCATCTTCTATTAAAGTTGCAATTTCGCTCTCCTCGTCACAATCCTGTTTTGAAAGGGGAGACAGGATTCCAGGGGCAGGTGCTTCCTCTCTGCTCCTAGTGCCTCTATGCTGAGGGCCTTTGGAGGACGGAACATGTTCACAGGGCCCATCTGGTGCTGCGTTCTCCTCACTTTTAATGGTAGAGAGTGGCTGTGAATGTGTAAAAGTGCGATCTGTTTCTAAATTATTTAGGTAGCTCATTATGGAAGCGTGAGCTGGGATTGGGTCATGTTGAGGTTGTTTTTCATAAATGTTCAGAAGTGATTTCGTAAGATTATTCCCAGGCTTGCAGCGAGCGGTGTCCATGCTAAGATCTGAGAGAAGCTTTGCCACACTGCTCTGTAAAGTTCTGTTAAGAAGAATTTAGTACACTAATTATTTTTTCTACCCATTTCTTTCATTTATTTACATATACCTCATCTTTTAAAGAAAGGATTGGAAGCAAGTGTCTGGTTCTTAATATGGAGAAAAGCAACTCAAAGCACAAAATCAAAGAATACCCTCAGGAAAGAGCAAATGAAAATAACAAATGATAAAAGATCTTGGTCTGCATCAAATCTAATATTATTACATCTAAAAACAGGCTCAGAAATCTTTTTCTCTTAAGGTATAGAGATGCTTTGTTCTTGAGCAACATTGCAAAATGTTAAATATAATACTCATTTGATAGTGGATTTTGTTAGTAATTAAGTTATTTTTCTTCATTCAAAATATACATGCAAAGAACACTGGAACAATACTGGGAAATAAGGATGGTTAGGATATTATCTGGCATAAATAGGTATAAGCAACAGCTAAGCACCAGAAGTGTGGTGTAAGGAAAACCGCATAGGATTTGAAGTCAGACAGAAATAGACTAGAATCCCAGTGCTATCACTAGCTGTGATCTTGGGCAAGTCACTCAACCTTTCTGAATCTCAAGTTTCTCAACTGCAAAATGAAGATACTTACTTCAGAATTACAATGATCATTAAATATGATTAAATAATAAAACATAAGGGTAAAATGCTTAGCACAGTTTCAGGCTAAATGGGTGTTCATTTAATGGCAGCTTTTATTATCAGTCTTATTAAAGCCACTTTATACCAAGCTTTTGCCTATTTGAATTCTATCACATATGTTCTTACATATTGATAAGAAAAAGAAACACACCAATTTTAAAAAACATACAAAGGACATCCACAGGCTATTTTAAAAGATTACAAATAGCCAATAAGCATATTTTAAAAGTTCAACTTTTAATCAGAGAAAGTCTAATTTTTAAAATGTGACCTTTTTTTGCCAATCAAATTAACATAGTAAAATAAGCCATTGTGAGAGAAGCCTGGAGAGGCAGGTACTACTAGTGTACACTGGTATAGCTCTGCAGAGCACACTTGCAATACATCAGAAAATGTGTATATCCCACACTTTTTGATTCACCAATTTGCACTTCTAGGAATTTATCCTGCTATAAATTTATACTACACAAGAGGCTGTACCCAAAGATATATTCACAAAGATATAACTTGCAATAAAAAATGGGTGGACTTAATATTTTTATCTTCAAATATAATGGACTGATTTAGGTAAATTATGGTATAACTGCATCGCAGCCATTTATAATCCTGTTGTAAAGAATACTGATGGGGAAATGTGCTCTTATGTGAGGTTAAATTAAAATGAGCAGGCCATAAGTAACACGCATGCAATACTATTTTTGTAAAAGCAATCACACACATCCAAATAATATGCCAAAAGGAAATCTTTATACCAAACAGTTAGCAGTGATTATACCTCTGGATGTAGAATGAGTGATTTTTTTTTTTTCCTAGAAAAGAAAAAAATTATTTTTTCCAACTTGGCTTACACCGTAATCTTAAACATGCTCTATTTTGAGTTCTGATCGCTGTTCAAATGGCAATAACTCCTGCCATTTGTTCTTATACCTCTTCCAAGAAGCTAATGAGCTATTATTAAAAGACAAAATATACTATAGGAACATATCTTTAAAGAAATGCTATAATGAATAATTACCCATTAATTAATTCAATCAGAACTGCATACTGAAGTTTTTATTTATTTTTTGAAAAGGAAGATGTGTTGAGTTTTCTTTCTAGACCTAAAAACGTTATCTTTGCTATGGACAAGATCAGTGATAAAGAAAAGAAAGAAGGAAGGGACAATGACATTAATAACAGCTTAATCTACAGAAATTAATAGCAACCCTTAAGCTTCTGATGTATAAACAAAATGTGACTCACCATTGTCTCTGAAGTTAAAAGAAAAATCTCTAATTAGAGATGAGAATATGTCAAAATTTTAAAGGTAGCAATACAAGCACGTAGGGAACTATAAAGTGGATATATCTGTGTTTATATTACTTGGGATACAGCTAAACACGTTGACTCTTTCTTAATACTTAGAAAACTGGCACATTTCATAAGACAGGCAAGGTTCTTTTTGGGCTAGTTATAAAAATATACTAATTTACATGACTCTCAGCACTTGGAAGAGTGCTCTTAGAAGCTATTAGAAGATTTACCCTTCTTTACTGAGAATATATTAATTTTCCCAAAATTTTTAATAGTTTTATATGTATTATAGTAAAATCTAAAAAAATGACAAATATGTTTTTCAAAATGACTGAAGGTTGGAGAAGGGACAGAGAGATCATTTAGGAAATTTGTTTAAAACTTGTATGTGTACCTTCTCGTTCCAGTATCCCTTCCCAATAGTTGGAGAAAGGCATTCAGGAATTTTGTGAAATCTCTCTTCCAAGAGAGATACAAAAGACATACACCTCTCTAAGTGAGGTGGAGAACTACAGGGAAGAGGGATGGGGTAGAAGATGAATGCGATAATTCATCTGTATTGTCGGGTGTTGCTGCTTTACCTTCTAATGTCAAAGTAAAAGTAAAGTGGTGACAGTAGCCAAACTGTAGTACTGGAGATGTTCCTAATTAACTGAACTGCATAGGGTGTCACCAAGCATACTATAAATCATCAGCGTGGGTGAATTTAGATACAACTAAGCTCAAAGACAGGTCTGTTGTTTTATTTTGCTTTTTAATTTAAAGGACAAAGCAAAAATTGCCATCAATGGGTATGTGCACTTGCATTTTGAAACTGTTACTCAATCTTCAGAAAATGTAGGGATACTGTTAACCATTATAAGACACTGCACTAAGCCAGCCCAGTAATGATTCTATAATCATATAAGTCCAGGTAATCTAATGGGTGAGCTAGCAGTCATGAGGCAGGATTTATGCCAGCATAAAAATAATGCTGGAAAAAAGCTGAGAGGAAAATTCTTGAGAGTCTTAAGAAAAAGAGAGCAAAACATTTATATCTAATAGTTTAGACATAGTCTATTCTAAGAGTAGATAATATGTACGAAATAATGAGCTTTTTCAGTTCCTATGCTTCTAGGTTAGGGTGAATGTTAAGAACAGGCTCTAGTTTTTCATTCCTAATAAACACTGGAAAAGACAGACTGTGTTATTTTGAAAGAATGAGCAGACACAAAGGTACCTTCTACAAAGGTAGAAAAATCTCTTAATAGTGGGTCATCTTCTCTCAGAGAGAAGCTGTCCTTTTCAAAACAGGATACAAGGCTGCAGAGGGAATCTGAAATACTGGCTCAGGTCCCAGCTCAGGCATCAACCAGCTGTGAAAGTCAGGTTAAGTTCCTTCATTTCTTTGGGCGTCTATTTATGCTAATTTCTAGAATAATTATACTATTACTTATTCTGAAAACTGTTCTTACATTTTTGTTAATTTTCTTCGCAAATGCACCACACATGTTAAATAGTTTCTAGTCCAGCTTATTCTTAAAAAAAGATGTGTCTCCCTATATAAATCATCAGTGCACGCGAATAAGCTTTTTTGCTTGATGATGTGGATATTTAGCAACTAAAATGATTAAATATTTTTGTTTGTGTTTCACACATATAAATATTTGGAACATAATATATAATAAATGTGTGTTGAATAAATGAATAAGCAGATGAATCCATCCATTTATCCATCCCTCTCCCAGGTAAAAAAAATGCTATGGTTTATTCAGACTACATTAGGCACGGAGTTATTATCAGGAATTAACTATTTTAGTTACGGCCATGACATACGCAAGAGCGAAAGAAAACATGGCTAGGAATTAAAAGATGTGAGTTGTCCCAGGTTGTAGTCCCAGCTCTGTTATTAAATTTGCATTAATATTTAATTTGCATGGTCCCAGTTTCCCCAACTATGAAAATGCAGATATTAAAATTGTCCCTCCATAGATGGGAGAGGACTTTAAAAAAAAAATCAAAGTACTTTATAAATAAAAGATAACATCAGCTTCTGATTTCATGCCCATAAGGGAGCCAGATTTTGTAGTCTGAAGAGAAAGATTATGAGAAGAGACCTCCCAGGAAACTAGATCCTCTGCTTCACTTTCTGCTGGGGGCTGAGAACCAAGCCACTTGAAATAAGGAGGCGCTCCCAGTGACACAGAAGCAACTGTGCGTGGACCTGGACCATGCTGACTGGAGTCCTGTTTTTCTTTCCCAAATGGACTATATACCAATATACTTTAAAAAAAAGTTTGAGATCAAATTTATATACTATAAAATTCATCTTTTAAAAGTGTACAACTTAATGGGTTTTCGTATTTTCATAGAGTTGTACAACCATCAGCTCTACCTAATTTCAGAACATTTTCATCACCTTAAAAAGGAACTCTGTACCCATTAGCAGTTACTCCCCATTTTTCCCCTCTTTCTCCAGCCCCGGGCACCCACTAATCTTTTTATTTCCATGGATTTACCTATTCTGGACATTTCATATAAATGGAATCATACAATACGTGGTCTTTTGTGACTGGCTTCTTTTACCATAAATACTTGATAACAATAGTTTTCACCCCAAAAGTACTCCTCAGAAAAAAGATGCTTTTTCTTTGGAAACCTTATAAAGGCTTTCATAAGAAGTGACATTTTCTCAATTATTTTACTTTAAATGAGAGTACTATAGGCCAACATTTTAGAAACTTTGACCAGAGCCTAATTAATTATAAAACATGAATGCAAGAAGTGTCTTTGCTTTTCCCACTGTTCAATAAAGCTTGAATGAAATTATTCTTTGAAATATGAATGTGGATAAAAAGTAATATTTCTATGCTAACACTGCTTATATAGTCATTTCAAATGTTTACAAAATTAAATTAATAAATTAAATATATGTTACTGTTTCATCTATTTTTCCCTAAAAGTTTATAATTCAAAATGGATCTTCTTATCTGAAATACAAAGGAGACTGTTTTATATTCAATACTGTTTTATATTTACAACTATGAACTTCCAGGATCACTCAAAGGCACGGTCAGATCTGATGATATTCAGCCTAAAATAACTGACTTCTCTTCTGGGATTTTAAAAAGTAGTTGAAAATCCAAATCTTAGCAAATGTCTCAAGAGAGAACTGAATTTACACATGTATACCATATAAAAATTGAGTGACGCACACCTGAAACTACTAATAAAGAAGCTGAGTGAGGTGATTTTATTGGAGTAAAGACATGGTAGGAAACGCAGGGCTCTTATGGGTTGTTGCCAACTCCCTCATTTTACTGATGAAATGAATGAGGCTCAAAGAAGCTCAATGACTTACCCAAGATCATACGGTAAGAAGGCCTACTGTGCTAAGTGCTTATCCTGACTTCTTTCTTAGTCCCCTCATCAGCCATATTCAACTTTATAGCTGAGGTTTAGAGAGGTAAATAACTTGCTCAACATCATACACCTAATACATGGTAGAGCAGGGGTTCCACTCAGGTCTCTCTAGCTTTAGAGCCAGAGAGCTCTTAACCATTTTTACTAAACAAGTCTTCAGCTCTCGTCACAGCCCTTTTCCTGGAGTCACATGATTTAAAAAAGCATTTAGCCAGGTTCGAAATTTCTAAACTGTTGACATCTTAATTGGAACAACAATAACAAAAATATTAGAAATTAGCAAAAACATTGACAAAATAAAAGAAAAAGAAAGGGAAAAGAGAGCAGATCTAAAATTATTTTGAAGCCTATAAATATATCTAATACAAGGAATAAGTTATTCAAATATGCAGTATTACCTGGTTAAGTCTCTCAGTCGAGTCACCTCAGCATCACGCTGACGTAATGTTATTCCCAGTATCTGATTTTCCTTTTCAGCAGCTTTTAACTTAAACTGGGAGCTTTTCATATTGACTAAGGATTCCTCCAATTCTAAAACGACAAACAAGTTTCACTTTCCTTACTCATTTTTAAAAAACGTGATACCTTCAGTTCAAATACATACCAATTTTTATTCTAGTTGTCTCGATGTCAAATTGCTGTTTATTATCAAGTATAGTTTGATCTTTCTCTTTAAATATATCAGCAAATTTTTTGGTTTCATCTTTCTGATTTTCAATCACTTTTAAAAGCTCTTCATTTTTACTCTGTAGTAATTCCTGGCTCTTCAATGACTCCTGTAATTGATTCTGCAGGGACTTATTCAATGATTGAAGAGAAAACACTGTAAGACAAAACAGATCAAATAATTATTTTCTCAATTTAAAAAGTACAAACCTGGAGATCTGTTTTTACAAAAGGCTTAGAATTTATTGATTTCACTTAACAATTATGTGCTTGAGCACTTATATGTTAATACTAAATATATTTTAAAAATTGTTTGGCAGAAGTCATGCCTTTCTTCTCCAATTGATATTATGGGCATTAAAAAAAATTTTTTTTTGGACCTTTTTTAATGGAAAAATACATGCACAAGTTTAAAAAAGGTTCAAACACCACAAAATACCAATGATTCTCTATGAAGAGTCTCTCCCACCCCACCTCCACTCCCTCTGCCAGAGATAAGTCACTATTAACTTTGGTATCTTTCTGGAAAATACTTTTGCAAGTATTTAAAAAAATTTTTAAATACTTTTAAATCATTAAAAATAAATGAATCATACTACAGTACACCTACAGTTTCTAACCTGGCCTTCCCCCCACCCCCATAAGATGCTATGCATCAGCCACATATCTATCATATTCTTTTTAATGGCTGTAGAAGTATGTGACACCGTTTATTTAAAAACGCAGCCTTGAGTGAAGGCTTACGTTGTGTGAAGCACTGTAGTAGAACCTGGGCACACAGTGGTGAGCAACAGAGACATGGCTCATGCTCTCACGGAGCTGGTAACAAACAAGTAATTATAAAGAGCAATAAGTGCTCTCAAGGAAAAATAAGTAAATACGTAGAGAATAAAAACGAGATAAACAACTTAGAATCAGAACCACTGATATCCCTGCTTCCCATCTTGGCTTCCTCTCTCCCACCCATCCTCTCTACCCCCACCATTTATTCCGAGTAGCATTCAAGTGATCTTTTCCAAAATTACTCTGGTGAAGTTGACCATGTTTATGAAGTGCATAATGCTCTGTTGGGTGTTCATATTTTTCTTATTCCTTATAAAAGATACTTACATATTAAGAAAATTAAGCCTTTGTCATATCATGTTTCCCATTTTGTTGATGCATTTTGAATGTATTTATAATTTTGCTGTGCAGAAAATGAAAAAAGAAATTTTTCTGGGGCATATTTTATCAATGTTTTCCTTTGTGGCATCTGAGTTTCTTTCAGGCTTAGGAAATGTCCCCCATTACCTCCCAAAAAAGTTCTCATCCTTCCCTCTAGTACTATTAGCTTTTTCCTTTGTCTTTTCTTTTACTTTAAGCTGTTTGGTCCATGAGGACAATTTGGCAATATCTGTCAAAATTCCAACTGTATATACCCATTGGCTCATTAATTCTGCTATAATCTATAGAAATACTTGCTCACACATGTGCACAAAGACATATGTACAAGATTTCCATTGCAGCACTGCTTGCATTGGGAAAATGGGGAAGTGCCTAGATATCTATCAGCAGAAAACTTTAAATACATAATCATACAAGCAGAATATTAAAGATCTTAAATAGAAACATATTTATGTAATTTGATAGAGAAAAATGTCCACCACATGTTAAGTGAGTAAATACAAGCTACAGAAGAGCACATACCATACAAATCTCATTTCTATATATATACATAAAAACCTCATTTCTACAAAAACAAAGTACTTATATAGTTCTATTAGCTCCTGTCAAATAGTAGGTACTCAGTAACTATTGATTATTTGTGAAATAAGTCAGTCATATAGGAACAGAAGGTATATGAAAGGAAGCACAGTACAGCCTTTTTTTTTTAATAGGGGTGCATGCATCTTTTATTTTTCTGTTCCTACACCACTTTAAATTTTAATAAGGAGTATTATTCTTATTTTTTAATTTTTTGATTAAAAAGAAAGTCCACTCAAGACAAAGTAATTAAGAAAGCTCAATTGTTTATCAATATTTTCCATCAGTTCTGAAAGTTCTTTTACCTACATTCAAGGTTGCATTCCCATGAACCAGATGCCTTTCGAGTTTTTTCTTGTTCTCTAAGTTGATGGTTCAAAATTCTCAACTGCCTAAAGGAAACAATAAAGACATACGAATATAAATGCAAGAATCCCAAGCTCATTTAACAGTGTACATTTGACAGCCTATTTAAAAGGACAATACAAACGGTGGCCACCAGGAGGACAGAAGTCCATCTTATCCCCCAAACAAAAGACAAAAACCAAACAAAACCACATTATTATACTCGTATATAGGCCTGTGATAATTTTAAAAGATTGTCAGGGACAGTATAAAACTTCTCCTCACAAGGAAAAGTTCACTTCTCTGATTTTTCCTCTTTCCTTTTTTGTTCTCTTATCTTTTCAAGCAATGATTTCCTTGTTTTTCCTATTTATTTCATTTCCTACCTCCTCTTGCTATTTTATTCTGCCTTGATTCTCTGTATTTTCTCTGCACTGTAGTAATGATCTACTTTTTAAAAGATATGTAATAACTCTGAATTAGAATACCTACAGGGACTGACTGCTATTAGACATCTATCTGCTCAGTTTGTCACACACTGAAAAAAACTGGGAAATGCAAATCTATGCTTCTAATAATTTCTTTATTGGATGGAAAAGTTAATAGCCTAATTTAAGTAAAGAGAATAATAAACAGCCACTTTGTCTTACAATGAACTTCATATGTAGCTGCTTCACAGATAGAAACATACAAAAGGAACTAAAAAGTGTTTTCTTTATTTCTAATAAGTTAACACTAAGAAAGGTTGTCTCTAGTATCAATCCAGAATTGCTTACCTGAAAATATTCTGCATTAAAGTACTTGTTTTTGTTAGTGCATCTAAAATTATAGTGCCCTGTCTCATATCATTTATATGTATTAATTCCAGATAAAGAGCCAAACATAAAATATACAAACAAACCCAACTATACAAGTTTCATGTGGAAATCTACATAACCTTGAAATGGAAAGGCATTCTTATACAAGACTCAAAATCTAGCAACCATCAGAGGAAAGAATAAAGGATTTAATTATATCAAAACTTGAAACTTGCTCTACAACTAACAATCTAGAAGAAAATAGCTTCCATATTCATTGGGGGTGCCAAGAAAATGTATATATACAAGTGAACACTTTGGTCAAGGTTGCTCAAGCAGTAGTTCACCATAACCAGAAGTGTCTGGACACTGATGGTACCACTTTGAGCGCCTCTTGTAATTGCAGAAGTCAAATGTGACTTGTATTCATCTTTTGTTATTGGTATATATTATTACACTTTAAATACAGTTTTCCTTTCTTAAAACGTGTATACATTTTTTTTGGCACCCTCTGTATAACTGACAAAAGGTCTAAAACATTTAAAGAGCTCCTACAAAGCAGTTAAAGGCAGTAAAAAAGGACCAAGGAGATACATAAATGAGAAGATCCAAGATGCAGAGTAAATAAACACTGTGCTTGCTTTCTTCCGAGAACACATTAAAATTGCAACTAAATTATAGAACAATCAATCCGGAGAACCATCTGAAATCTGGCTGAACAGAAGTTTTATAACTAAGAATATAAAGAAGCCACGTCAAGTCTGGTAGGAGGGACAGCGACACAAAATGAGGTGGCCTCAAACCTCTGTGTGGTGGTTGAGAATCAAGAGGGATACCTCAGCTGGGGAGGTTCCCCCGGAGGAGTAAGCAACCCCACCAATATACCAGGCTCCCCAGCCCAGAGTACGCGTGTCGAGAAGAGGAGCCCCCACAACATCTGGCTCTGAGAAATAGTGGGGATTCTGATCATCCAGGTGGGATGAAAAGCTGTGGAAAACCCAGACATCTTCTTAAAGAGTCGGTGCACAGACTCACTCACTTGCAGGTACTCACCCTGGGGTCCAGCAAAGGGAAGGCGACCTGGGGAGCGTCAGAGGCATGCAGAGGGGGGTTCAGGGGCAAACTGAGGTGGGTGGCTTTGAGGCAAGGGCTGGAAGATTGTTGCCATTTTCCCTGTGTGGGGATTTTCTCACAAGCAGCCGGCAGGCGGGCGGCATTTTTCCTGTGTTGAGCCATCCTCCACAGGCCAAATCTGAATCTAAGCAGGTCTCGTGAGCGCCACCGCTCCACCCTGCTGACTTCCTAGGACCTGGCCTCACCAACTCCCCCAACACCGGCGGCAATTTCTCATGAGCAGATAGCCCCAACCATATTGCACTCATTCTTGGAAAACTATAAAAGTCCATGGGCCCCAAGTGGGCAACAACTGGCCTCCGTGTGCTCTGAGACTTTTTCTGAGTAGCTCCAGGCTCAGCACTGGCACCAAACCAAAATCTACATTAACCTGGTAACCACAACTCTTCCAACTACAGTGACTCCCTGAGACCCTGCGTCACCCAACTTGCGTACAGCTAGAGGCTTTATTTGTGGCTGAACCTTAAGGGAGCCGGCAGGTGGCAGCAGGCCTCGGGGTGTCCTGGCTTTTTGCAGCGCTACCTCAGGACTGGTACTAGTGGGAAGACATCCTTGGTCCACAGCATGGCCTCTCCCACACACCTGCAGGTTTAGCAGAGCCATTGAACAACTGCAGACCACTTTGTAGCTCATACCAGGTAGCCCCCGGTTGGTCACAGACAGTGGGTGACCTGGGCCTGCAACAGAGCCCCTCCCAAGAGGGGCTTGGATTCTTTTTGTTGTTGTTGGTGGTGGTTGCTTCAGACTACAGCAGAGCACTGCCCAATTAATCCCACAAACAGCACACACAAGGGGAGGTATCAACAGACACCAGAGCCTCCTGGGGAGAATCCCACTCTGGGGGGACATCCCCTGCACAGCAGCCTGTAAGCTGTGGACATGGCTAAATCCCTCAGCCGATCAGCCTGAGGACCAATCCCACCCACTGATGTGCCAATAGCAATCAAGGCGCAACTATAACAGCAGGGCACACACAACCCACACAAAAGACATTCCTGGAGCACCTGGAGCAGATGACCAGGAAGACTGTGTCACTGGGCGCCACAGGGCACCTACTACATATGCCCACCCGGTCAAGACTGGGATACATAGCAGATCTACATAATACATAGAAACAAACATAGAAAGGCAGCCAAAATTAGAAAACAAATATGTCCCAAATGAAAGAACCAGAGAAAACTCCAGAAAAAAAACTAAACAAAATGGAGGCAAGCAACCTACAAGAGACAGAGTTCAAAAGAATGGTTATAACGATGCTCAAGGAACTTAGGGAGAATTTCAACAAAGAGATAGCAAGCTTAAAAAAGGACATAGAAACCATACAAAAGAACCAGTCATAAAGGAACAATACAATAACTGAAATGAAGAATGAAGTAGGGGAAATCACCAGCAGACTAAATGAAGCAGAGGATCAAATCAGCGATTTGGAAGACAAGGTAGCAGAAAACATCCAATCAGAACAACAACAAAAAGAATCCAAAAAAATGAGGACAGTTTAAGAAACCTCTGGGACAACATCAAACATAGTTACATTTGCATCATAGGGGTACCAGAAGAAGAAGGGAGAAAGCAAGGGACTGAGAAACTATTTGAAGAAATAATGACTGAAAACTTTCCTAACCTGGTGAAGGAAATAGATATACAAGTCCAAGAAGCACAGAGAGTCCCAAACAAGATGAACCCAAAAAGGCCCACAGCAAGATACATCATAATTAGAATGGCAAAGGTTAAAGACAAAGAGAGAATCCTAAAAGCAGCTGGAGAAAGGCAACTAGTAACCTATAAGGGAGCTCCAATAAGACTGTCAGCTGATTTCTCAACAGAAACTTTGCAGGTCAGAAGGGATTGGCACAAAATATTCAATGTGATGAAAAGCAAGGACCTACAACTAGGATTACTCTACCCAGCAAAGCTATCATTTAGAATCGAAGGACAGATAAACAATTTCCCAGACAAGAAAAAGCTAAAGGAGTTCATCGCCAGCAAACCAGTATTACAAGGAATGTTAGAGACTTCTTTAAGAGGGGGAAAGAAACCAGATCAAAATTATGAATAATAACATGGCAATAGTTACATATCAACAATTACTTTCATGGATTAAATGCTCCAATCAAAAGAGTTAAGAGGGCTGAATGGATAGAAAACAAAACCCTTACATATGCTGCCTACAACAGACTCACTTCAGATTGAAAGACACACACAGACTGAAAGTAAAAGGATGGAAAAAGATATTTCATGAAAATGGGAACAAAAAAACCCCAAAAAAAGGTGGGGTAGCAATACTTATATCAGACAAAAGGGACTTTAAAACAAAGGCTATAACAAGTGACAATGAAGGACCCAGTAATCCCACTTCTGGGTATTTATCCGAAGAAACCCAAAATGCAACTTTGAGGGGATGTGTGCATCCATATGTTCATTGCAGCATTGTTTACAATGGCTAAAATGTGGAAGCAGCCTGGGTGTCCGTTGATGGATGAATGGATAAAGAGGAGGTGGTGCATATATTCAATGGAATATTATTGCTCAGCCATGGAAGGGAATGGGTTCTTGCCATCTGTGGCAGCATAGAGGAACCTGGAGGGTATTGTGCTGAGTGGAGTGTGAAACAGAGAAAACCAGATGCAATGTGATTTTGCTTATATGTGGAATTTAAAGAACAAAATAAACAAAACAGAAACACACTCATAGATAGGTAATAGTTTGATGGTTGCCAGATAGGAGGGGCGTTGGGCGTGCGGGTAGTATAAAAAGGGGAAGAGATTAAGAAGTACAAATTGGTTGTTACAAAGTAGTCATGGTTATAGCAAAAGAAATATAGTCAATAATATTGTAATAACTATGTATGGGGTCAGATGGGTACTAGATTTGTTGGGGTGATAGATGGGAGAGGGTTGGGGGCAGGGTAAAAAAGGTGAAGGGATTAAGAAGTGCAAATTGGTAGTTACAAAACAGTCATGGGGATGTAAAGTACAGCATAGGGAATATAGTCAATAATACGGTAATAACTATGCATAGTGCCAGGTGGGTAGTAGACTAGTCGAGAGGATCACTTCTTAAACTGTATAAATATCTAACCTCTTATGCGCTACACCTGAAATTAATATAAAATAATA